CACACACACACACACACACACACACACACACACACACACACACACACACACACACACACACAGAGGGTTGGCAACGTTATTTCATAAAAATAACTTGTTATAGTTCTTTATCTTAAAATGTAATTGGTTTTATATCGTCACTCTTTATTGATTTACAAAAGTATGAGCTCTATAAAAAAACTCGGTTCCATTATTCAAAATGTTACGAATCGTTACTTTTTTTTCTTGATACTAATAGAATATTATAGTGTTTTTTATTGGCAGTCTTCGAGAAAATTAAAATTACTCAGTACACATTGCAGTCCTTGTATATTACTCTAATCTGAATGTAAAAATGACATATCTCAATTAATGAACAGTTCAAAGTATAGACAGACGATGACTAGGAATGACTATATTAGTCATTTTCAATCTATTTTAAGCCCATTTCACATCAGATGATTGCCGATCGCAAGTTTTTTGCGACAGCCAATCTGAAGCTTATATTTTGAAATCAACGCTTTAGACTAGCTGTCGCAATAAACTTGAGATTGGCTTCCATGTAATGTATTGTAGAACAGGCTTTAAATGTCTTGCGTTATAGAATGTTTGGTTGATGGTATTTATTTCATATCCGGTTTTTATTAAAAGGAATGTAATTTTTGATATCTTTTTTATTAAGTTGGAAAATATTTTTTTTATAGAGATTTCGTTTTTAAATATATGTTTAGGAATATTTATACATATTTATGTATGTTTATTCGTATTTATATATATTCATGCAAGAGGAATTTTTTACTAGAATACATAAATGATGAAAGTTAATTTGGTACGGTCGAGACTCATCGTATGTAGCGAAGTAAGTATTGAGGTTAAAATGTATATATTATTATTGTCTCAACATGCTGCATGATGTGCTATCACTTACAACGAAAAAAATTTTGCTGTGTTGACAAAGTTACATTAATTCGCTTCTATTTCTTTCGTAGAAGAATGTATGTACACTGGGCAACAAAATTAACGCAACACCTGTTCACTGCAAAAATAGGCAAATTTCAAGATACAATAACTTCGTCAAAAATTGTCGTATAGGGATGTTTAAAAAAGTATTTTACAGGTAGAAACTTCTACTTTTCGGATCGTTACTTAAAAAAAACAATCTCATGGAGATTTTATGAAGTTTCGCAAACATAAATGAAAATATATCAGGTTATTGCGAAGAGTGTTGCTAAGGTCTCAGTAGTCTAAAGGCTCAGGGCGCTCGCACGGAATGCAAGAGATCCGGGTTCGACTCCCGGCCGAGGCAATATTTTTCGCAATAAATTATTACAGTTTTTTAAGATTTGGCAGAATTTGGAGGGATTATTTGTTTCAGATTGATTGTGTGAATCCGATAATTTCATCGGCTCTCAATTTATGTCTGAAATATTAATTCAATTTTATTGAATGTATATTAAAATAGTAGTTCAACATCTTAATACTCTGACCGCGAAGGCGCTGTGTTTTAAAATTATAATAGTTATATTGACGGTTCTTGTTTCCAATCATAAAATATATCAGACCTCAAAATTTTTTATGAAATTTGCGAAGCTCCACGGAATGGAATAAAAATTGTATACAAATGCGAATTATAATACATTATTCGAAAGAGTGTATCTTTAATTTACTTTTTTACGAAGCTCGGTACGATTTTTTTACCTCGATTTATTCAACGTTGAAGCAAAAGGACCATTTTTGCAAAAGACGAAATCGTCCAGTAAATGCTCACTGCTTAATTCTTTTCTTTAATTTTATGTTCTTGTTTAAGGTAGTACTCGTGAACTGAAAACAGACATTCTTGAAATTGATGCTATACAAATTTTACTAGAAGACGTTGTTACGCTTGGGCAATAAGATTGAAGTTTCGGTACTGAGATGTAAGCAATAGAAAGCCACACTCTTTATACATATTGCCTACACAAAATTAAATTAATTAAAATATTGCGTTTTTTTTTATAAGATCTAAACTAGCAGTGACATGTTAATAAGAAATGAGTTAATAAGAAAGGAGAACTAAAAATGGCGCATGCGAATACTTATATTTTAGTGCCTTGCATCCACTCCACCTCTCCTTATCCAAGAGACGCACGACTTTCCATGCGAAGCAAGATCTACCTAAATGCAAAGTAAAATACAAATTTTTTTTTATTTCCCGAAGTTGAAATTGTATTCTTTATTTTTCATCGAGTAGAATTTATATGCAAAATTTCAAGTTACTCGTAATTGCAAGCGGGGATCATGTGGAACTATATCCATATTATTGTTTATTATTACAAATATATTAATATAAAGAAAAAATACAAAAAATAATTACAAGGATAATTTTTTTATTGTTTTAAAAAAATCAATTTGGAGAATAAAAAATTACTTGTGCATAATTATATATAATTTTATAAATAATTATGAGCAATTTTTTTATATTTCTCTAAATTTGATTTTTTGCTAAAACAAAAATGCGCAAATTATTCCCATAAAATGTTTATAAATGTTTATGTACATTTATGCACATTTATATCCATTTATATATATATATTCGTGCATGAAAACATATTACCGGATATGACACATGTACCACTAATTTTTAGGCATCCATTTAAGAGAAATTTTGATACAAAGTGTAAAAATGTCTTTTAGTGGTAAAAACATTCTTTAACATTAAAAATTATTGTTTGATATGTAAATAAAAATCAAGTTTGACGTTACACAACTAAGTTACATAATGATGAAGTTGAACAACTACAACTAAAATTATATTTGTTGTTCACCTTCTGCAAGTAAAATCTAATTTATAAATTTCGTCGCAGCTCTCTTTGTCTAAAAATTAATTGCCTAACGCTTGCCTACATTAGATTTGTCGACAGTCCGATTGTTTGCACACAATAATTATTGTCTACATCTCCAATGTCTACGTGCGCTATTGCGCATAAATGTAAAACTAAGAGAAAAAGACACGTATTCACACATGACAATATTGCATACAAACTGCGTTACTGCACACATAATACTATATTATTGACTATACATCGATTATTTATAAGCATTTTTGCGTATAAATAAAAATTTCAGAGACAAATTAGTCATATTTACTTACATATTGTATTGCCTGCAAGCACATTTTTGTACAAATAACATTAAGAAGCAAAAGTTTGTTTTACATACAGGTATTATTGCGTATTGATCGATTGCTTACGAACACTAAAATTATATAAGAAAATAATTTGTTACTTTAAAATACGGAATTTCTTTTTTTAAAGTAAGGAATTTGCGTTTTTAATGCAAAGAATAGTGCATGTAAATAATAAATTTGTGCGCAAACAAACTGTTGACAAATATGACACAGACAAACGGTACTGCAGACAATCAATCTGTAAGTGAACGGAGTCCTTCCTCTCAGAAATAGTACGTCAATCTTTATTTAAAGCAAGATGTTTTTTCGCAGAAAAATATTAATTATGAACTACATAAATCTTACCGCATGTTGGGATACATATTTTTTTATATCTTTATTTTTAACTGTTGATTGAAATATTATAGAACTTGAGATTGATAGAGTATTTCTTTATTTTTCAGACAGGATTTTTAAACTCGTCAGTTATATTTCTTAGTTGACTTTATTGTAATGTTCCTGAAATTCTTTCCGTATTTCTAACGGTCTAAATTTTTTTAGTCATGTATATTTTTAAGTTTACCCACTTAAAATCGTAAAAAAACATAATTTTTTAATACGATAATTGATTTTAATTTAATTTTATGTAATTTAATTTATTGCAAACTTTTATAAAAAAGACTACGTGTTAATAGAGTAATAGAGATAAAATATGGTACAATAAATCATAGTTAACATAAATTTAAATAGTAGCTTTCAAATGGTTAAGAGTCAACAAAATTGTTGTTACAAGCCTGCCAGTAACAAAATCAGCATAAGATAACAATGCAATAAGAAGTAAACCAACGAAGTAAGTTGAATTTGTCAAAATCAACAATCATCTTTTAATATTATCCATTTTACTGATATATTGATATATTTTATCGTTAGTGATACTTGATATGTAATTTTGAACGTTTTTTCTATATGTTAATGTTGTTTTTATTATTTTTCTAATTATGTAAATAAAATATTAAATAAAATATTAGATTAAAAACCTAAGACGTTAAAATAGTTAAACGTAATTTAAACTGACAGAGAGTACGAATAGGAGCATGTAAATAAGAAACTGTCATTAAGGTTGAAAGCTACATTTTGTATATATGATAAGTATAAAATTAATAATATTAAGAGTAAATCGTATAATTGTATATTATATAAAATCTAATAAAAAGAAATTAAAGAAAATTTAGTTAGCAATGAACAATAGCCAAAGTTTATTTTACGTTCGACGACGAGGACAGGTTCCAAGCAATAAAGTTATAACAAAATAATGATTGTCACGAAAAGTGAAAAAAAGAAACGGAATGATGTATCAAAGACAGACATAATTCTAAAAAAAGCAATTTATAAAATCAGAATGATGCCTGACGCTAAATTAAAGAACTGACACTTTGATAATTTAATAACTTACATGCAATGCTTACGACTTAGACATAGCAATAATCAAGATCATTACGTCAATATCTTAAGAACAACTGAGGCAAGACAAATATATATATATGTGTATATTTATGTTATATATATACTAATATATATATATATATGTATATATATATATATATATGTATATATATATATAGTATATATATACGAGTACATCTGAAAATAAGTTTGTAGCTCACCAAAATAATTACGTAGAAATCTCAAGCATCACGAGCAATGTCACAAAAAATTTTGACTTTTTGGCAACCAGTTTGAACCTGCATAATTATTTTGATAGTCCAACAAAATTTTTTTACTGGCGTGATATCCACAAATTGCCCGAAAGATGGGAAAAATGTGTAACTAGCAATGGAGCATACTTTGAATAAAGCTCTTTTTATCATTCTTCCGAATTTAGTGTTTTTTTTGGAAAAAAATCCGCATTTCATACTTATACACCTGGTAAGGAAGCAAGGCATTCCAATGATAAAAATTACAAGTGTATGGTTCTGAGAAAGTTTCAAAACTCAGAACAATTTGCGAGTCGGGATGGATTGGATTGGTCATATTTGTACTGTCTTTCACGGGGATGATTCGTTTCTACATGATAATGCAAATTTTAACAATTTCTGAGTTTTAAAATTTTCCTCACACACTATACATTTGTAATTATTAATATTGCAATGCTTCGTCTCCTTTTTAGAATACCTTTTTGAGTACGAAATGAACTGTAGCAACATTTTTTTATTATTTGTTATCAATTAATTTAAGAACATACGTTGAATTATTAAATAATTCTTCTAATTTTTGTTGTTCATTTAAATACGTAAATGCTTTTTTACAAAACTCACACTGATAGTTTTTCCCCTGTATAAATCATCTCATGATGACGCAAATGCGATTCACGGTTAAACGTTTTACAACACGTTCTGCAATTGAGATTTGACTTCAGTAAGTATTTCAATATTATGTTGTTTCGAAGTTTTTGAGTAGGTTAAATGCTTATATAATATTTAGTATTAAGAAAAATGATGGTTAAAAGACAAATATAAAGTTGGTAACATAAAACAAATAACTGTAATGATACAAATTGAAATAATACAAACATATCCAAAATTCTAAAAAAAATATTGATCATGAACTACATAAATCTTACTATACTTTTGGGATAGGTATTTTTTTGAATCATTATCCATTATTTCCCACTGTTGAGTCAAATATTGCGCAACTTGAGATTGATGGAATATTTCTCTTTTTTTTTAGATACGTTGTCAAACTCTTCAAATGTATTTCTCAATTGACTTTATTGTAACATTCCCTAAATCCTTTTCGTATTTTTCACGGTCTAAATTTTTTCGATCAGATATATTTTTAAGTTTATCCACCTAAAACCGTAGAAAAATATGATTTTTTAATAATAAGTTGGATTTGTTAAAATCAGCTAATTGGTTATTTTATCGTTAGTGATATTGAATATGTATTATAATATTGAACGTTTTTTTTTACATATAAATGTTTTTTATATTTTTTTAATATACGTAAATAAAATATTAAGTAAAATGTTAGATTGAAAACTTGAGACGTTAAAATAGTTAAACATAATTCAACTGACAGAGAGTATGAATAGGAACATGTTAATAAAAAATCGTCATCAATGATGAAAGCAACTTCTTGTATAAATGATCAATAAGTATGAAAAGAGAAACATTACAA